ATGGAATAACATAAAAAGGCAGAACTTAAGAATAATTGGGTTAGAGGTGGGCATAGAGTTCCAAACCAAAGGAATGAACAATCTAGTCAATGAAATAATATCAGAAAATTTTCCAAACATGAATAAAGGATTGGAAAACTAAATACAAAAGGCTTACAGGACACCAAATGTACAATTTCACAACAGATATCCACACCAAGGCACATTATCCTGAAAATGCTTAGCATACAGAATAAGGAGAGAATTTCAAAAGCCGCACAAGAAAGGAATCAGATTACATAGGGGGGAAACCAATTAGGGTATATGCAGATTTTTCAACACAGACCCTGAAGGTTAGAAGATCCTAGAACAGCATATATTAAGCTCTGAAAGAAAATGGGTGCCAACCAAGAATCTTATATTCAGCAAAATTAAGCTTTAGATTTAATGATGAAATAAAAACCTTCCAAGAAAAACAAAATTAAAAGAATTTACAACTTGAAAGCCTGCACTACAGAATATCCTCAGCAAATCCACAAAGAGGAAATGAAAAACAACAATGAAAATCAGCAAAGGGAAGTTTTACACTAAAGGAAAAACCAATAAAAGGAGAAACCAAGTCAAGTTAAATTACCAAAAATAGACAAAAATGACTGGGAATATAAATCATGTCTCAATAATAACCCTGAATGTTAATGGCCTAAACTCACCAATCAAAAAACATAGACTGGCAGATGGTTTTAAAAAAAAGACCCAACAATATGCTGCCTTCAAGAGACTCATCTCATAGGAAAAGACATCTGCAGACTGAAGGTGAAAGGTTGGGGAAAAAACATACCACTCACATGGTCTGTGGAAACAAGCAGGGGTTTCCATTCTTAGATCAAATAAAGTAGACTTCAAGCCAAAGTTAATCAAAAGGGATAAAGAAGGATATTACATAATGCTTAAGGAACCATATATCAACAAGACATAATAATTATAAGTATATATGCCCCAAACAATGGAGTGTCTACATTCATCAAGCAAACTCTTCTCAAGTTCAAGGGTCAAATATATACAACACAGTAATTCTGGGTGACTTTAACTACCTCTTTCACCACTGGATAGACCATCCAAACAAAAGCTGAACAAAGAAACTATAGAATTTAATTAGGGCAGAAGGGAGGGAGAGGAAGGGAGAGGGTATGGAGTTAGAAATGATGGTGGAATGTGATGGACATTATTATCCAAAGTACATGCATAACGACACGAATTGGTGTGAATATATTTTGTATACAACCAGAGATATGAAAAATTGTGCTCTATATGTGTAATAAGAATTGTAATGCATTCGGCTGTCAGATGTAAATAAAAAATTAATAAAAAAGAAGAAAAAACAAAACAATAACTTAGACTTAACTGACATATATAGAATATTTCATCCTTCAGTGAACAAATACCCTTTCTTCTCAGCAGCACATAGATCCTTCTTGAAAATAAACCATATACTATGCCACAAAGCAACTCTTAGCAAATATAAAAAAGTAGAGATACTACCTTGCATTTTATCAAATCATAATGGAATGAAATTAGAAATAAATAAATGAAATAATAAATAAATAAATGCTACTTCAACACCTGGATATGCTACTGAATGGACAATGGGTTGCAAAAGACATCAAGGAGGAGATTAAAAAAATTCTTAGAGGTAAATGAGAACACAGATACAACATATTGAAATTTCTGGGACACTATGAAAGCATTACTAAAAGGAAAATTTATTGGAGTTCATTCCTAAAAGAAAAAGTCAACAAATAAGAAACTTAACATTACATCTCAAAGCCCTAGAAAAAGAATGACAAATCAACACCAAAAGTAGAATAAGACAGGAAAAATCAATGAAATTGAAACAAAAGAAGCAATTGAAAAAAATTGACAAAATAAAAAGTTGGTTCTTTGAAAAAATAAATAAAATCGACAGACCCTTAGCCATGCTAATGAAGAGAAGGAGAGAGAAAACTCAGATTACTAACATCGATGATGAAAAAGGAAATATCATGACAGACACTACAAAAATACAGAAGACTATTAGAAATTATTTTGAAAACCATTACCCAATAAAATAGAAAATATCAAGGGTAGTGACAAATTTCTAAAGTTATATGATTTGCCCAATCTGAATCAGGATGATATACACAAGTTAAACAGATCAATTTCAAGCAATGAAACAGAAGATGCCATCAGAAGCCTAAGAAAAGCCAGGACCAGATGGATACACAATGGAGTTCTATAAGACCTTTAAATAAGAACTAATGCCAATACTCTTCAAATTATTTCATGAAATAGAAAAAGAGGGAGTACTTCCAAACTCATTCTGTGAGGCCAGTATCACCCTGATTCCAAAACCAGGCAAAGACACATCAAAGAAAGAAAACTTCAGACCAATATCTCTAATGAACATAGATGCAAAAATTCTCAGTAAAATTCTGGAAAATCAAATACAAAAACTTATCAAAAAAGATAGTGTACCACGATCAAGTGGGATTCACCACAGGGATGCAAGTTTATTTCAACATATGGCAATCAATAAATGTAATTCATCACATCAATAGACTTAAAAGATAAGAATCATATGATCATCTCAATAGATGCAGAAAAAGTACTCAACAAAATACAGCACCCCTTCAAGTTCAAAACACTAGAAAAACTAGGGATAACAGGAACATGTGTCAACATTTTAAAGCTATCTATGCTAAGTCCCAGGCCAACATCATTCTAAATGGAGAAAAATTGAAAGCATTCCCTCTAAAAACTGGAACAAGACAGGGATGCACTCTTTTACCACTTCTGTTTAACATAGTTCTTAAAACACTGGCTGGAACAATTAGACAGATGAAAGAAATCAAAAGGAAACAGGAAAAGAAGAGCTCAAACTAGCACTATTTGCCGAAGATATTATTCTATACTTAGAAGACCCAAAAAATTCCACCAGAAAACTTGTAGAACTAGTAAATGAATTCAGCAAAGTAGTAGGATATAAAACCAATACTCATAAATCAAAGGCATTTCTGTATATCAGTGATAAATCCTCTGAAAGGAAAACAAGTAAAACTTCCCCATTTATAATAGCCTCAAAAAAATTAGGACTTAACCTAACAAAAGAGGTGCAAGACCTCTATAATGGAAACTACAGAATGCTAAATAAAGAAATTAAAGAAGACCTTACAAGATGGAAAGATCTCCCTTGTTCTTGGATAGGCAGAATTAATATTGTCAAAATGATGATACTACCAAAAGCATTATACAGATTTAATGTAATTCCACTCAAAATCCCAATGACATTCCTCATAGAAATAGAAAAAGCAGTCATGACATTCATCTGGAAAAATAAGAGACCCAGAATAGCTAAAGCAATTTTTATCAAGAAGAGTGAAGCAGGTGAAATCACTATACCAGATCTTAAACTATACTACAGAGCCATAGTAGACCAATGGTACAGAAAGAATAGAGGACATAGAGACTAACCCACATAATTACATTTTATTAGACAAAGGCACCAAAAATATACATTGGAGAAAAGATAGTCTCTTCAAAAGTGGTGCTGGGAAAACTGGAAATCCGTATGCAACAAAAATGAAATTAAACCCCTATCTCTCCCTCTGCACAAAACTCAAAATGGATTAAGGACTTAGGAATTAAACCAGAGACCCTGCATCTAGTAGAAGAAAAAGTAGGCCCAAATCTTCATCATGTGGGATTAATCCCCTACTTCCTTAATAAGACTCCTATAGCACAAGAATTAAAATCAAGAATTAATAAATGTGATGGATTCAAATGAAAAAGCTTCTTCTCAGCAAAAGAAATAATCTGTGAGGTGAATAGAGAGCCTACAGCTTGGGAGCAAATTTTTACCACTTGCACATCAAATAGAGCACTAATCTGTAGGGTATATAAAGAACTCAAAAAGCTAAACACCAAAAAAAAAAAAAAACAAACAAACAAACAAATAACCTAATCAACAAATGAGCCAAGGAACTAAGCAGACACTTCTCAGAAGGTGATATACAGTCAATCAACAAATATATGAAAGAATGTTCAACATTTCTCTAACAATTAGAGAAATGCAAATCAAAACTACTCTAAGATTTCATCTCATTCCAATCAGAATGCCAGCTATTAAGAATATAAACAACAATAACTGTTGGCGAGGATATGGGGGAAAAAGGCACACTTATACATTGCTGGTGGAACTACAAAATGGTGCAGCCAATATGGAAAGTAGAATGGAGATTCAGAAAACTGGGAATGAAAATACCTTTTGACCCAGGTATCCCACTCTTCACTCTATACCCAAAGGACGTAAAAACAGCATACCACAGGGACACAGCCACATCAATGCTTATAGCAGCACAATTCACAATAGCTAAACAAATGGAAAAAGAAATCGTGGGCTATATACACAATGGAATATTACTCAGCATTAAAAGAGAATAAAATCATGGCAATTACAGGTAAATGGATAGAGTTGGAGAAGTAAGCCAGTCCCCAAAAAACCAAAGGCCGAATGTTTTCTCTAATGTGATTGCTGATCCATAATGGGGGTTGAGTGGGGAGCATGGGAGGAATGGAGGAACTTTAGATAGGGCAAAGGGGAGGGAGGAGAAGGGAGTGGGCATGGGAGTGGGAAAGATGATGGAATGAGATGGGCATCATTACCCTAGGTACATATATGAAGACATGAATGGTGTGACTCTACTTTGTGTATAATCAGAGACATGAAAAATTATGCTCTATATGTGTACTATGAATTGAAATGCATTCTGCTGTCATGTATAACAAATTAGAATAATAAATTTTAAAAACCTGTTTTCCATTAAAATCCTTAGTTTTGTTGTATGTAAAATATCATATACATATATATGAATGTATTCATATATGTATACACACATATATGTGAATAACGTGTAAAAGTAAGATGTGGTATCATAAAGGAGAAAATAATATTTCTCATTTGGGGGTTCAAAGGTAACATTTACAAGATGGAATAGGGTGAATATCAGAGATCAGAAATGCCCATTATATGAGTAACTCCTATAAATCTTTAATATTTAGAGAAATATCTCTTTGTAAGTTTGAGGATAAAGTGAGAAATTGATTTCCTCCCAAAACAATATCATTGATTTGCCTACTTGATATATTTCCTTTTTTTTTTTTTTTTCTGGTCTGGAGATTGATCTTGGACACTCTACCAACTAAACAACACCCTCAGCCCTTTTTATTTTTTTTTTTGAGATAGGGTCTTGTTAAGTTGCCCAGGCTGATTTAAAATTTGAGATCCTCCTGGCTCAACCTCCCAAGTGGCTGGGATTATAGGTGTGTGTCACTGTACTTGGCTTATCTAAAGGTTTTCTAAATCTGTTTCCTAGGCAGTTGGAAATTTTCTAAGTAATTTTTGCTTCACATTTGTCATCTGGGAATATGAACCAATTAATGTAGATCTGGGAAAGGCAGTGTTTTTTTTAAAAAAAATTAACTTTGGAAACTTAAATATTTTAAAGTAATTAGGAAGTTCATAAAAACAAAAGGCATAAAATAAAAATTTTATCACAGTATAATACATGGCTCAGTATTAAATAATAATTACAGAGTCATAACAATGCAAATATTGACTTGATTTCAGGCATAATTTTGATATAACTGTTGGAAGACTAGGAGAAAATGTGGGGTAATAGTTATATAAGAAAGCTAAACTTGCAATACAACAGGAGGTCAAAGAAAAAAATTTAAAATTGCCAAGTCAATGTATTATGTAGAAATTGTGAAGTAAATAAGAAAAGTGGTTGCCACTTAGACATATTTTTTAAATGATGAGAATTATTAATTTTTATAAAAATAGAAGAAAATGTTAAAATTATCTTGAATCTAAAGGACAAAACATATAACTCCACCAAAGGAGGGAGCAAGAAACGGACCATATATGTGCATTTTTTTAAAAAAAGGTCCTGAGATAGCTTTGGTTATGCAAAATAAAAGAAAAGAAAAAAAGTTATTTCAGTTACTTTCAAGTCATATATGTCGCCATGTGAATGTTTGTGCTTAGATAATAAAATTGATTTCTCTGGAAATCCTAAGACCATAGTCTATTTGTGTACTAGAATTTTTAATTTTAATATCTTTGGTTAAAAGGTATTTTCTTGAAGAAAGATTTGGAGCCAGGCATTCCAGAGTCTAAAAATTTTAAAACAATGTGTTTTTATTGTGAAGAAGGAAGTGGAAGTAAAATTTTTACATAATGATTCCATGAGGAAAAAAACACATAAAATTGGTTTAAAGTTGCATTTCAAGAGGATAAAAATGCAATGTGTTTAAATTAAGCTGTGGACCAAATTAAGATTTAAGCAGACGAGGTTATAAGAATTTATGTTTTGACTTCTCATAATTTTTTAAATAGGAAACTCTTCAGAGTCAAAAGGAAGCATTAGTGAAGCAACACAAAGAAGCAATGGAAATTTTTAAAAAGCAGGTATTTTAGACACTATAATGCACTTCCTCCCTTTTGCATGAATACGAAGGCAGGGTTTTCTCCAGACTCCTGGAAGACAAGAAGGAGAAAAGGGTATTATGAGGAGTAATAATTGAATAGCTACTTTAAATCATGACTGATAATAAAGAGTGTTTGAGAAAAATATTTTCAGAGATGGAGATGTATTTTCATTTCTTCTAAATAATTTAGGTGAATGATGTGCATGTATTCTTATTTCTTTTCCTTTTCCTCTTTCTTTGGTTAGAGTATCTTGGAATCTTACCTTTTCCACTTTCCTCCTTTACTAAAGTCAGTCATAATACTGGCTGAGATGCAAATAAGGAGATATAAAGGATGAGAGGTGATTACCATGCACAGAATCCTCCATAAATTCAACCAACTTAAAGTAACTAATGAAATAAATAAGAAAAAAAACAAAAGAAAAATATTTTAAAGGAATGAATAGCAGCACTTTTTCAGTTAATTTGAATTCTTAGGTCTTCTTGACTGCTTTGAATTTCTCTTCAGTCCGTAGCTAGAAAATATTAGTTTAAAAAAATATGCTCATTCAAAATAAATTAGCCTCTGGAAGTTTTTCCTTTTATCCCACTATCTTCATTTGTACTTCCTTTTCCTTCCTTCCTTTGTTGTCTTCATCTTTATGCAGTGTCTGTTTAGAAAAAGAAATGTACCTAAAGAATAAACCTATAAAAGCTATATCACTAGTGTGTTATGGTTATTGATGATTTACACATTAGTTTGAATTTGTTTAAACAAATAATGAACTTTATTCCTTCAATCTGAAATAGGTCTCATCAAATTTATGAGAATTTTAATTGAAGGGTATAGAAGCAGAAGCCAAAAAAGTATCTTAGTATTCTCTAGGAGATAACAAATAGAACAAATGTACATCTCTGCTATCACAAGGGACTTGGAAAAGAAAAGAACACACAGTTATCTGAAGATTAGGGAGAAAGTGCTCTTGAGTTTCCACTGGGGTGGGACCCAAGGTCTTAAGCACGCTAGGCAAGTACTGAGCAGAATCCCCGGCCTTATGTTTGTTTTAAATACATAATTCTTGAATGTAAGGAGTATGGAAAAGGAGATAAGAACGTTTCAAAGAAAAAATTTATTTTTTGACAATTTTGCTAAGTATCCTTGTGCTACTTAGAATATTTCTTTTTTTAAATTTTTATTCTAATTTGTTATATATGACAGCAGAATGCATTATAATTCATATTATACATATAGAGCACAATTTTTCATATCTCTGGTTGTATACAAAGTATATTCACATCTTTTATGTTTTCATGCATGTACTTAGGGTCATGATGTCCATCTCATTCCACCATCTTTTTTACCCCCTTTCCCCCTCCCTTCATCACCCTCTCCTTTTCCCTATCTAGAGTTTGTCTATTCCTCCCAACCCCAGTACGAATCAGCCTCCTTATATCAGAGAAAACATACAGTATTTGGTTTTTTGGGATTGGCTAACTTCACTTAGCATTACCTTCTCCAACTCCGTCCATTTACCTGCAAATGCCATGATTTTATTATCTTTTATTGCTGAGTAATATAGAATATTTCATTATTGTCCTTTGATATGTGTTTTTCAGTTTTTTGTTTTAAAATGTCATTATTTTAAAAAGTCATCATTTCACTATCATATGCATTTAAAAATTTTTCAGAGCACAAATACTGTCTGCAAATAAAAATTGTAATGATTTCATAAAATTATACCTTCAGAAAAGTACACATGCTATTATTTAGAAGTAGATGATGGTATATTCAGACATTTAAGGAAATTTCTAAAGGGGAAAATGAAACTTTGAAGGGTTATTGATGTCTCTAAGTGAGATTAAATTGTTCACTTATTTTGTTGACTGTCTTTTCCTCTCTTTTTTTATCTTTTTTTTTTAATTGCCAATGGGCCTTTATTTTTACTTATTTTTATGTGGTGCTGAGAATCGAATCCACTGCCTCACACATGCTAGGCAAGCGCTCTACCTCTCAGCTACAACCCCAGCCCTCTCTTTCGTATCTTTATTATTTTATTTTCTAGATGTAAAAATGACATATTCATATTATATTAAATTCAAACAATACAGAAATATGAAATGTTTCTATAATCCTATTAACCAGCAGAAATTACTGTTACTGTTTTACTTATCTGGATCTTAATTTTAAAAATTATCAGTTGCAAATGAAGATGTATGCCTTGGAAGAAGAAAAGGTATTTATTAATTTTTAAAATAATTTAAAGCATATGTAAATGAATTAAATTTTCAGTTATTCACTATAGTAGAAAACAGCCTTGGTAATAAACTAATGGGGGAGAATCTTGATTGCTTAAAATCCTAGAAACAGAAAGAACCCAAATAATTACATTATTTGACCTCTGTCATTTTACAATTGAGAAGACTGAGGCTCAATGAAGATATAATGATTTGCTGTGGCAAAGTTGGGAATTTCAACCCCCAAATTAATGTTTCTTCCACTCTACTGCAATGTTCTAATGTTTTTAGTGCTTTTTCAATGTATTTATTTAGTGCTTTTTCAATGTTCTTTAAAACACATTGAAATGACTTGTACTTGAGTGCAGACCAACCTGGAAAGGAGAAGTGATTCCCAAATGTAGAAACTAACCAGGTGCTAGATATTTTCTCTAGCTGTTTGTTAGTTAATACATATTTTTATTATGCTTATGAGCATGCAGTTTGCTGTTTTAATAATTATAGCTGAGTATTTTTAGCAAAAAAAATTTAAATTTAAAAAAATTTCCCCATCCTTATATTCATAATATAATATAAATGTACCTGTACTTTATTAATTAAAATACAATCAAATCTCTGTATCCACAGTTTTGCATCCACAGGTTCAACCAACTGCTGGTTGGAAATATCAGGAAAGAAAAAATTGAGTGTACTAGATATGTACAGATATTTTTCTTGTTTTCTATAAGCAGTACAGTATAACAAACATTTGCATTGTATTTACATTGTATTAGTATTATAAGTGATCTAGATTTAAGATATATAGGAGGACATGTGTAGGTTGTATGTGAATATGAACACTAGGCTTTTTTTTGGGGGGGATAAGTTACATCCCAGCTGTTCTTTATTTTTTATTTTGAGACAGGGTCTTGCTAAGTTGCTTAGGGCTTCATTAAGTTGCTGAGGCTACCTTTGAACTTTCAAGCCTTCTGCTCATTGTCCTGAGTTGCTGGGATTATAGACATGTACAATCATGCCAGGCTACTATTTTATTTTATTTAAGTGACTTGAGCATCCTTAGGTTTTGGTATTCATGTTGTTCTTGAAACCAACTCCTTGCATATTCTGTGAGATGATTGTATATTTATTCTAACTGCAAGAATTAAATAATTTTATAGTATCTCAAAGTTCTATGAATGTTCTCTTGATAAAATGATTAGTCATTATAATGAGATATTTCATTTTATGATCATTATAATCATGCAAAGGCCTTATTTTTTAATATTTTGAAGCCATTAGAAATATATTTTGTCATGCAGATACAACTTAAAAGCCTATGAAGTATTAGATTTAAATTACAAATTTTGGTTCTTGAGCTATTATATTTCCTCCTTTTATAATATTTACATTAGAAAGTATTAAAATATAGTTTTTTACTTAAAGGGAAAATATCAACTTGCTGCAGAAATAAAAGAAAAAGAAATAGAAGGATTGAAGGAAACATTAAAAGCATTACAGGTAAAGTAACAGTACTACTTAAAAAATAATTTGCTATTTTATTGTTGTTTTTAGTAAAACATCATTAAACATGTAATTTAGCAAAGCAAAGCTGAAAATTCATACTATATATTTTACATAGTTTAGTACTTTATTTTCCCAAGAGACTTAAATTTCAAATTAGTATCTTTGCTTCATCATCTTTTATTTTTTAAAAATACTAAATTACTTTTACTATTTTTTTTTCATGTGTGTGTGTGTGTGTGTGTGTGTGTTTTACTGAGGGTTGAACCTAGGGGAACATTACTACTAAACTACACCCCAGCCCTTTTTATTTTTTCGTTTTGGGACAGGGTCTCACTAAGTTGCCATGGCTGGCCTTGAACTTGCAATCCTCCTGCCTCAGCTTCCCTTGTACCTGAGACTACAAATGTGTGCCACTGCACCCAGCTCACTATTTCTTATAGTAATAAAGCTAGAGTCTTTTAAAACACTTTTCACATGAGAAAAACAAGTAAGGTCCATATATTTTAATTTACCCATGGTCCTTAAAAGTTAAAATAGTGCTAATTGAATTTTTATCATGTGCTAATAAGTATTGTGCTTATTTTCTACAAATATAGGCTAGGAAACATCACCTTTGCTCTTATGTTGGTCACAGTCTCTTGGAAAATACAGAAATATTTAACTAAAGATAATACATTCAGTGTGTTTATTGAAGATCTACTATGTGCCAGACATTTTTCTTAGCACCAAGGATATAGTGACGAGTAGAAAAAATAATCATTTCCCTTCTGGAACATCCAAAAAAATAAAATGAAGAGTGAATAAAGATCATTGGTAAAGGGTATATTCTCATGATTTCAAAATATTATCCTATAGATAACACTAATTACAAAGAGCAAAATATAAATTTTCACAGTGGAAGGATCCTGAAGTTCATCACCTTAACCAAGTGATCAAATGCAGCATTGTTAATAATATTATGTAGTAAGAGGCACAAAAATTTACTGATATAATATAAATATTTTTGGTACCAGGGATTGAACTCAGGGGCACTCAGCTACTGAGCCACATCACCAGGCCTTTTAGAGACAGGGTCTCACTGAGTTACTTAGCACCTTGCTGTTGCTGAGGCTGGCTTTGAACTCGCAGTCCTCCTGCCTCAGCCTCCCAAGCCACTGGGATTATAGGGATGTGTCACCATCCGGGGCCAGTGTAATTACCCTTTTACCAAAAAAATTAACCTGAATCTAATACTGGAGAAACAATGAAACAAACTCATAATGTGGGATATCCTATAATACAACTAACCTGGAATATTTAAAAAACTTCAGTGTCATAAAAAAACTTAAAGAAAAAAGGAAGGGTGAACTATTTTTGATTAAAAAGAATAAAAACAGATGACAATGAAGTGCAATATATGAACCTTCATTGGATCCATGCTCAGGGAAAAATATAGCCATAAAAATTAAGGGGCAATTGGGGAAACTTGAATAGTACTATATGAGTTGATATTGAGTTGTTAATTTTCTTAGGTGTATTATTGGTATTATGGTTCTGCATGACAAAGTTTTTATTCTTAGACAATGCATGCTGAAGTATTTTAGTGTGAAGATTCCTGATGGCTGCAACTTATTTTCACATAGGTCAGGGAAAAATTATGTATGTATGAACACAAAGAAAGTATGGAAACTGTTAAAAGTTGGTGAATGTGGGAGAAGCTGGAGAAGATCATTCTTAGAAGAAAGACTTGGGAGGTTTATTTTTTAGTTTGTCTCCTTTATAATTTTTATAATAGTTGCTCTAGTGGCTAAAAATGTGTATTTATATATGTATATGTGTATTTGCTGCAGTCTACTTCTAGCAACATTTTACTATTTTAGGTGGTGTGTAGAAATCTTAACACCATTTAGATCCTTACCCTTCATGCTTCCTGATATATTGTCTTAATATTTCCTCTCTATACATTGAACATCATATCAGTGTTATAATTTTTTCTTTCAATAGTCAAATCTAGCCAATGAACTCCAAGATAAATATTTTTAAGAAAAAGAATTTTTATTTTTTATTCATTTTTTCTTTTTTTTAAAGAGAGAGAGAGAGAATTTTTTAATATTTATTTTTATTTATTTTTTATTTTTTGTTTTCGGCGGACACAACATCTTTGTTTGTATGTGGTGCTGAGGATGGAACCTGGGGCATGCATGCCAGGCGAGCGTGCTACTGCTTGAGCCACATCCCCAGCCTAGAAAAAGAATTTTTAAAAGTCAAGGAGAAAAGAATAATCTGTTTACCTAGATTTTTCATTCTCTATTCTCTGTTCCAAGGTTCCCTCTATTTAATTTCTTTTATGTCTGAAGAAATTCTTTTAGCAGTTCTTTTACAACAAGTTTGCTGATAGCAGATTTTCTTAGTTTTCCTCATCTGAGAATTTCTTTATTTTGCCTTCATTCATGAAGAATTTTTATCTGGATATAAAATTCCATAATAAAGCAAGAAAAAGTAATAAAAGGTATATCATTGGAAAGGAAAAAGCAAAACTGTTTTTGCAGACAAAATAGCCATCTTATAAAATCTGATACCACTTACAAAGAAGCTACTAAAACTAATGAGTGAGTTTAGCAAGGTCACAGGATACAAGGTCAACACATCCAAACCAATTGTATTTCAATTACAAAGCACAATCAAATTGAAAAGCAACTACAACACAGTTTATGGACAACATTAAAACGAAGAGAATACTTAGGGGAAAATTTAACAAGGTGCCATACTTGTACACTGAAAACTGTAAAACTGCCTAGAGAAAGTAAAGATCTAAATAAATGGTGAGATATAACATGATTATTATGAGTCAATATTTTGTTTTTTTGTGTATGTGGTGCTGGGGATTAGAACCCAGGGCTTTGTGCATGCAAGGCAGGAACTCTACCAACTGAGCTACATCCCCAGCCCTAGTCAATATTTTAAAGATGTTTGCCTTTCTTTTTCTGTGAAGTACTTTTTAATGACTGTTTTTCTTTTGTTTTGTTGGATTTTTTACTTCCTATTTCCATGAATTCCTTATATTTCTATGAAATAAACCTTCTTTGTCTATTATATGAGTTTCAAACAGTTTTTCTCAGCTATTTATATTTTGATTTTGTTTGACTTTTTGTTTAATTCTTAAGTAAGATTTTCTTTTTATTTTTATGGTTTTTAGACTTTAAGACATGCAGGAAGGCCATTCACTACTCCAAGGTTATAAAGAATTTTCCCATGTTTTCTTGTATTACTCTGATGTGCTCAAATTTTACATTAGATATTTGATTTCTTGAAGTTTATCTTTGTCTGAGATATGTATCTAAGTTCATATTTTTCCAGATTATTATCCAATTGTTTTAACACTATTTAGATTCTCTTAATTTGAGATATTACACAATTTTTTAAACATTTATTTTTTAGTTGTAGGTGGACACAATACCTTTATTTTATTTTTATGTGGTGCTGAGGATCAAACCCAGTGTCTCATGCATGTTAGGTAAGAGCTTCTTCCTCTGAACCACAATCCCAGCCTTAGGCAATTATTAATATTGGATTTCTTTTGTTACATTGATATAACAAAGTAAAGAAAAATAAATTAAATCAACAAAGGTCAATGAACTCCAAGATAAATATTTTTAAGAAAAAGATGAGAATGGATTCTCTGTCTAAGAATGAATAAGCTAAAAGATATTTGTGATGTAGTAAATAATCCTTGTTGCAACAAAAGCAAAAGGTGATTATAATCTCTAGGAAAACCAGACAACTATATTAGAAAGATAAAAATCAAATTAAAATTTGGAATGTTTTTGAGCAATGTATGGAATATAAAAAGAGACAAAGCATTTAGGTCCTGACCTTAATAAAATAATCCTTCAAGTAGCACACTAGACTTATAAAGAAGGAAATTTAATATTAACACATTGTTGAGAACTGCACCAAACAATATATACATTGACTGTAATAATGTAAATATTATTAGTTTCCATTTTTAGAATTAATCTATAAGCAAAGCATGGAAGACATAATTATGATTACAGAATAAAACTTAAATGTTTTTGAGATTCTCAATGTAAAAGTAACAGTGTGGCAGGAAGATGATGCTGATACCCAGCCATGTTCTTTCAAGTTGATGAAATCAGAGAGGTCCAAGTTTACTGTTTAAAGTTTATATAAAGTTTAATGACTCTTACCATACCTCAGATATACAATTCAAGATGATCCTAGTGGATAAACTTTTTTTCCTGCTTATTTGGAAAAATTTTAAAAAATCATTTCTTATAACTGAGAAAACAAATTACCATTTTAGCTGTTAGGAATAACAAAAAGCAACACCCAATGTTAAGTTTTCTTAGTGTCTTGAACTAAGCATAACTTGCCTCTTATTTTGCCTAATTTCTTTTTTCTTGGTAAATGTTTAAAAACTATTACATCTTTTCTTACTAAAAAGTTGTCAGTAATGTTACTTTTCACATTAGTACTTCATTCTTTTAGCATTCCTTCTTAAATTATTTCAGTTCCTGGCATGCATACATATTTAATTATCTAAATAATGTAGAGAGTATTTTCAAAGCCAAAGAAATCCCTTCATATGATTGACCTTTATAAGGGTTGTAAGAATTTTTTTTTGCCTTATTCATAGTACTGGTAATATATAAGGTAACTCATGGTCTGCTAAACATGATACATTAGAATAATGAACATCTTTCTGATTCCCACTTCCCCTGCCCCCAAACTGAAGAAACTTAAGTTCCTGTTCAAGTAAGGAAGGATCTGATATAAATTCACTAGGCAGAGAAAAACTTTTTTGGGGGTGGCAGTCCTAATGATTAAACTCAGGCCCTGGAACATGATAAGAGCTCTACCACTGAGCTTGTCCCCTTAGGCATAGGTGGGGAGGCAACTCTTACTTTTCTTTCTCCTTTTGCCCTTTCATCTCTTTCCCTACTAAGTGCTAGGTACCAGAAATTTAAAAAAAACCAGATAGTGGCTTTTATTTT